ACTCTCCGTAGGAAAAGTAAGAGACGAGTAAGTCGAGTGCCAGCTTTGAATATGTACATCTTTGAATAAGTCTCTTCACGAAATCTTCACAAAGTTAATTCAGTTAATTTTTCATACGTAAAATAATTTTTCTAAATGAGTATTCTTAATCAGTCCTTGTACATTGAACCTAATATCGCGATCGTGTATTACCGCAAGCAGGATGTTGATTTCAGCGTGCTCCGTAGCCGTGTTCCAGTTATAAATTTCAATTTTCATCCGCAATTTTCTGCCACGTCCCATCCGATCAGGATATAAATATTTGAGACGCGGAGATTGAGTAGACCGAACGAGATAAAGAGAAAAAAGGAAAAGAAAAAAAAAGACACTGGCCAGGAAGGAAACAGAGAGAATATTGTTCGAAAGTCGACGCTCCTCATTCGCCGGGACTTTCCTCCGCCGCCTGTGTAAGAAAGTTAAACAAAAGAGGATGAGGCGTAAGAAGAAATACGAGAGGCAAGTATAATCTATAGGAGTACATCGGAGGAAACGAGATCGTTCTTCTTCTTCTTCTTTTTCTTTCGCTTCTCTTCTTCTTCATCTTCCTGTAATCTCGCAGTACGGAAACTTTCGTTCCGGCTGCTTTCGTTCTCCGCTAACACGCTTACGTCTCGCATCGTTCCGCGTCAATATTTTCCGCTCGAATCAACCGAGCATATCTCGAATAATCTCTTCGCGAGCATGCGAGCAGTTACTTTATTACCTGGCCATCGTTACCCACGCGTGCACCATGGACTATGAATTCCTTTAAATTTTACCAAGACTTCAACTTGTAAGTTTTCATTGATAACATCGATTCAAACGTATTCGCGTACATCTCAAGTGTACATCTCAACTGACCAAACAGATCCTCGCGGCCAAACAGAAAGATTTATTATACACGCGGAAAGCTGTATAACTCGTCAACAACGTCACATCATTCTACGCGTACAAGAAGCTATAACTCGTTGACTCGCGTTATCCTTTTAAACCTTCCGCTCGAATCTTCTTCTCCGTTGCTTGCAAAAAATTGTCGTCCGCGAGAAACCGTCGATAAATTTCGATTGGCTAATCGCTTCGAGGGAATCCCTGGCCCGCTGGTCCGTCGAGTATTCGTATTCGAAACGTCCCTTAAATCGCGTGCCCAAATCCCCAAGGCTGGCCATTGTTTTTCGTCGAAGGACATCCCCCGTCCGAGGCTAATTAATCGCCAGGGTCGTTGCGTATTCCCGATTCCCGTTGCTCGGTCGATTTCCCTTAATTACGCGGCCGTAACGAGAGCCATGGAGTCGCGCGAGGGTAGGAGCAACGTTATCACGTCGGTGGCTCGCTTTCGATTTAAATTATTCGCCGTCTAATGGCGCTTTTAACGTGGCTTTAAGCCGTGGCCCACGTGAGCCCCGCGATAACGATATCCTGGCACGCTATCGCGGCTACACGCTCAACGACGGAGTACACGCAGAACAACATATTTTACGTTGGCTCCTTTGAGAGGAGCCACGCAAAACGAGGATAGCGAATTATGCTGAGTGCATCGACTATTGTAAATCGAATCTTACGCCCGCCTCTTTTTACCTTTCCCATGTGACTAGCCCCCAACCAGCAGGATAGATAGATCGTCTCGAGAAATATTACCGTCTGTAAGTGTATTTGAATGCGTTTGAAAGATCGATTCGGAAGATCGATTAACCCCTTGCCCTATTTTGACGAGTCTGACTCGTGATGAAAATTTTAGGCCAAACTTGAATATCACGAGTCAGGCTCGGTTGTCTAATTTCATGTCAAACGTGAATATCACGAGTCTGACACGTAATCGACATTTCGGGACAAACATAAATATCACGAGTCGAACTCGTGGTCTTAATCTCGGACCAAATATGAATGTCTCGAATGGAATCTTGTGTTGAT